AAATACCAAAACGAAAACCACCCAACGGGACTAGCAGATAAACGATACTCCACAATAATCATAAATTAATAAGATATCAAGAAAGGAACATACCCGCAGCTGCATCCGACACTGCTCTGACCTCCTCGGGTGAAAGCTGAAAGCGCGACCCTAAGCCCTTGGGGGATCCACTCCACCCTGACCTCCTCCTGTGATCCTCAATGTGGCCAGTGCTGGAGCCTGCACCGGTCCTGCAACAAGTTGTGGACAGTTGACCCTCAAGTATCCAACCTGATGACAATGATAACATATCCTCAAATCCCGAACCGGCACTAACTGCCGACAATCCCTCACATAGTGTCCCTCCTTTCCGCACTAGCGGCATGTACCACCGGACCGACAAACTCCGGTGTGACCCCTCCCACACTTTCCACAAACGTGGCTGCCCTGATCTCCCATCCTGGAATCAACGGTCTTAGACCGTTTTGTCGCCGGCTGCGACTGAACCGGAGCTTGCCTCAGCTCACGCAACTGCAACTCAATCTCTAACTCACGCCGCCTGGCAACCTCCTGCAACTCCAACAAGGTCTCGCACCTTTGCGCAGACACAAACTGTCTGATGTCTCTCTTTAGCATACTCAGATATCGGGACATCTGAGCCTGCTCCGAAGCGAACTCAGGGCAAAACATCGCCCTCTCGGTAAACATCCTGGTGATGTCCGTCACCGACTCCGGATCCTGCTTCAGCTCAAGGAACTCCTAATCCAACCTCTCCTTCTCGACCTGCGGAACATAACGAGTGCTGAACATCTCTCTGAACTGATCCCATGAAATCGTAGCCCTCTGCGCATCCGAGTATGACCCCGTGGTCAATCTCCACCAATCCTTTGCCCCAAGCCTTAACAGGTTCAGAGCGCACCTCACCCTCTAATCAGCAGGGCATGAACACGTGAAGAAACACCCCTCCACGTCTGATAAACATCTCATAGCAACGATCGGATCCTGAACTCCATCAAAGGTGGGAGGCTTTGTATTATCGAAGTCCCGATACTGAAAACGTCTACTAGCTCCTCCCCCTGCCGCTGCTACAGCCGCTGTAGCTGCCGCGGCAGCCGTCTCCATGAGGGCCGCATAGCGCTCATCAAAATACTCCACCATGGCGGTCTTGATCGACCCAAACAGTTCCGGCAGCTCGGCCCGGAACAATGCAACAACCTCATCATGCAGGATCTCACGAATCCTCGCATCCAACTCGCGCGTACTCATCTGACCGACAACCTCGGGCGGTACGGACCCGCCCGACACTCCCTCTCCTGCTCCTGATCCTGATCCGGATCCACTCCCAGCATGCCCTGAAATCTCCATACTGAAAATAAACCACCAAAAGTGTAGACACTTCCCACTATCCCGGGAACCAACTCTCAACCCAACCCTATAGGTCATGGTTTCCCTGATACGCGTATGGGTCCTGTGCTTTCAGTAGTACGGGAACATACTACCTTCCACACCTACCCATATTTGTATGAAGTACTACCACAACACCCTAGAGAAAACACACATAACAACGCTCTATCCTCACTAGTAGAGGAACATTAGAAATCTCTCACAAGGAAACCCTAGGCTAGCAGGCATCATAAATCAGGCAACACATCATGAAATCCTGAAGATCCCTAGCCTAACTCTAGCATGCTGTTCTATCAAAGCTCAATAAAACAAATATCATGTATGGTATTTTGGGGTTACTTACTGGCTCCGGCTGATCGTACCTCCGCGTCCTCCTTTACTTATTTTTGAAAACCATTTTAAATTCTCTTTCGAAAACCCTCCTCGATTTGAGACTGGAGTCACATGAGTGTTCCTCCAATTCACTCAAACCAAGGCTCTGATACCAACTTGAAACGACCGAAAAATCCAACCAATTTAAATTTTTCAAAAACAACCCGATTTCATTAAATTATTACAAAAAGGTTTTCAATACAAATGATTTAGAGTATTCCCAGAATCACATTACTACAAAATCATGAGGAGCGGTACAATCACGTCTTTGCCTTGCCACGGTCTCCTGAAGAACCTGAAAAACATTAAACCAAAACTGTAAGCTCGAAAGCTTAGTGAGATACCCCCAAAATACCAACCACATATACCATACACATAACATGCTATCTCATAATGAATCACATAACAGCCATGCATATCGGGTCTACTGTGGGACTGGTCTGCCTTGTCGGGCCTTCAGTCCACTGGGTCCACCCTCCGAGTCCAATCATGTCCCTCGAGTCTACAGTGTGGTTGGTCCGCCCGCACTGGGCCTTCAACTCACCTGGTCCACTCTCTGAGTCCAATAATGTCCTTCGAGTCTACAGTGTGGTTGGTCCGCCCACACCGGGCCTTCAACCCACCTGGTCCACTCTCTGAGTTTACAGTATGTCTGGTCCGCCCGCGCCCGGGCCTTCAGTCGGCTTGGTCCACTCTCCGAGCCTCGGCACGTCTGGTCCACCCTTGTGGGGCCTACAACCTATCCGGACCGATCGCTGGGCTTCGAAATAACCGGTCCGCCCTGGGTATCTTGGCCTACAGCACGAGGCAGGACCCGCCTCAACCCAATTCCAGTCCAAACAACCATGTGCACATAAACATACAATCACATAACAATTCATATTCAGGCAAACCGATCTAGCAGATCACATAACACAACATACTCTAACATGATAACGACCTTAACCAGGTCTCTAACGAATACCATCCTAACTACCCGGATGCATACATATCAAAGCAATAACATAACAATAAATACCCGGATCTTAATCCGATAAAGGGCCGGCCTTGGTGCCTTAGACCCTGTTGATATAGTGAGGATAACTCACCTCGAAACTGTCGGCTGAAAGGATAAGATCCCGCTGCTCCAAACTCCGACACGAACTCCTCCACTGAACACCAAAACACTCAACTCAATAAATACCCTTAATTACCAAAATACCCCTGGAAGACGACTGGTCAACCCTTGGACAAGGTCAAAGTCAACCCCTGACTGACTCTACTCGCTGAGTCAACCCGATGACTCGCCGTGTCCCCAAGCTCAGAACTTCCATCAATCCGCGACCTAACTCGCCGAGTCACCCCGAGACTCGCCGAGTCCAACAACTCTGAGTCCACTCGCACCCAACTCATCGAGTCATCCCTTGACTCACCGATTCTCGACTCAACCAGAAAATATTGGGACTCTTCGACAAGACTCGCCGAGTCCAAGAACAGACTCGCCGAGTCTAAGGCTATCTTCAACCTACTCGCCGAGTTGTTCATCCAACTCGTCGAGTTCCAGCTCATCTTCAAGCAACTCGTCGAGTCCACCCATGTGACTCGCCGAGTACCACCGGTCTGAATCCATACAGAAGCATTCCAGGCCATGCAATTGATCCAAAACATAGATCTAGCCTCCTACAACCCATCCATCACGTAAAGTGGCAAACTTTACGTGAATCCAAAGAGATCTAGGCCTTATACACTTTAGCTAGGGTTTGGGACATGATGGCTTCACTAAGCACTCAAACACATGGACTTTAATGCACTCTAGACCTTCCCCATTCCAGATCTGAGGTAGCAACCTCAGATCTAACCTCCAAACTCCAAAACATACCAAGATAAGCTCCCCATAAACCCCAAAATGATGAATCCATATGAGTAACAGCCCAAGAACGAGATATTACCTCAAAAGAACGCCCCAACTGCAATGAAACTCGAGTCCAAGCAAAGCCCCTTGCTCCAAGCCTCCAAACTCCCAAGGTTCCTTCAACAAATACCCTTCAAGCTCCCAAATGCACTTTGATCCACTCACACACGAATGTTAAGGGTTTCTGGACTTGAGGATGAGTAAAGAGGCTAGGGGAATGGATGTTAAGTTCTTTATATAGGGCTCAACCCCGAGAATTAGGGTTTTCTCCACTCAGCACCTACTCATCGAGTCCATCTTTGGACTCGCCGAGTAGGCCACTTGACACGCGACCAAAGTTGCGACCCTACTCGCCGAGTCCATCCATGGACTCGCCGATTTGCCCTTCAAAATTTACACTTTTAACCCTTCAACTCTACTCTTGATATTTCGAGATGTTACAATAATATTTAACCGTTCTAAAATTTTCCAAATCCTTAGGGCATTAAGAGGGAAAAGGGACTAGAACCGGTTTTGACTAAAATAATTAAACAACTATCAAAGGACAATCCAAAGTTCGCTGAGGATTGGTTGCTTGTGAGTAGTTGGAAGTATAGTATTGGATGAATCATATTGACATTATAGATAAGATTCTATTTATAATGAGTTGTCATATGGCAAATATGGAAATGTTTCCACAATTGGGAGTTGTAAATTAAGAATTTATGTCTAGATTAGAAAATTTTATGCAAAAAAGATGTTCAAAGGAATGTACTTTGAGTGAGAGATATCACATCTAAAGAATTGTTTTGTAACAATTTCTGATAGAATACTTTGTAATTTCATTGACCAAGTCTTGGTGACTTTGTGCTGTGACATTACGAAAGGATCATTGCATAAAATGTTAGAATCTGACATATCTAAAAGTGACAAGAATTTGGTATTCTTACACTAATGATGAGGATTGGGGATTGTGAAATGAGTTTCATTGGAAAAGTTTTTCAATTGATCTATTTCACAAAGTATGGACCATAGGAAACCAAAGTGTGCATGCTTGGAGTATGGGACAATTGTGGTTATAATTCAAGTATAAAGTTGATTATCTGAAACATTAAACAATGAATAATGAGTAATCAATATGGTGATTAAATAAAGGTGTTTTATTTATACTCACAAGTTTGGGGTCATATAGGATTAAGTATTATCATTGTGTTTCTCTTTGCATGTTTTGACTTCTAGAATCTTCCCCAGAGTTACCTTCGTCGCCTGAATCTTCCCTTGAGTTTTCGCCTTGTTCATTCATGGCATCATCATCCTCAGAGTCACTAACTTCAGACAAAGGGGCTTCTGGGAAGCTTCTATCAAGGAATGGTTCCTATTTGTTTTCACACTCTCTGATGCTAACATGGAACTGCTTTCCGCTGAAGATTGTGACCACTTCTTCGTTTACAAATTTCCACGAATTTGTAAGGATGGTTACGAAACATGAGGAAAGATCCACCGAATGCCAATTATGACCTTCAACTTCAAGAACCTTCCCAAACTTGAAGACAATTTCAAAGATATTCTCATCAGATCTCAGATAAAGTGGTATCCCCAAGATTTTGATTCTGGCCAGCCTATCGTTGGTTTGATCATCAACAAATCCAATTTTGAGCCATTTAATCCAACTGCTCCATTTTTGAGGATCAACCATGAAAGACTTCGCTTTTCCCTGTTGGAAATTTTTTTGTATGATCTTAAGTCCCCTTGCGTAGTGTACTCTTGCTGGGATACTCTCTTCGACATTTAGGAGGGCATGTATATTGTTGAGGAGCCTCAATTCCTTGACTTCTCCAATAAGACAGGTACTGTCACATGAGTCAATCATAGGAGCTCGCTTCAATTGTATCTCCTGGGTTTTCACAGATTCGGACTTCCCAAGACTCCCAGTAACAGCATCGGCAAAAGTTTTCCCAGTACTAATGTTGCTACGTTTAATGATTGGAACCGACATCTGTCTAGGGTGGTAAGAGTTTGGAGGGTGTATTTGTTTTGGGGGCGACTTCTTCTCATACCTTGCGATATTGACCTTTACTATACTATGCCCACGTCTGACTTGATTTAGTGCAGGTACCAGGGAGTCAATGTCTTTGAGTCCAACGTATCTAATGAATGCGAAAAACGTACCTCCCTTGTCCTTCCTCCCCGGGATGTAAATGTCCACCATTTCCCCAAAGGACTGAAAAGACTTCCTTAACATCTCTTATGTTACATCAGACTGTAGATTTGTAACGTAAAAGGTTGTGATTGCATTCGATTTATCACCTGGATTGTGCTTCCAGCGAACCTCCGTCCATCCATCTCCGGCACCAAAGTGTTTAGAATACTTGCGACCGTCCATCTCCTTCGGTTAAAATAACGAACAATTAGTTAGGTAAAATGATCCAGCATAATAGTATTATTTCTTTTTTTGGTAAATATCAACACTTGTCTTGATTGAAACAAATAACGAGTGTATACTAAATTTGAATATAGTGCAATTAAAGGTTTTTAAATTTCCAGAAAATATAATTATCATGTGATATGAATCCACTATGATTATTTTAATAAATAGCTTTGATTATTTTAACGAACAACTAGTTTGGGAAAATGATCCTGCAAAATAGTATTATTATTATTATTATTTTTGGTAAATATCAACACTTGTCTGGATTGAAACAAACAACGAGTGTATGATAAATCTGAATATAGTGCAATTAAAGGATAAGATTCCCATACATAATTTTTACTTAAGCATTCGGTGTACCAAACTCATGTTTTGTACTCACCTCTTTAATTAAAAGAATTTTATTCGATTACGTTTTTGGATCGATTCAAACTAGCTCGTAGCTCGAGAATAAATTTATCTTATTGCATTCATTAGGGGCATATTAATTTCCTATATATAGTAAAATTTCAGCTATTTTACTTTTCTCTTCTCTGAATATATTTTCTTTTTATTATTTTTTATTCTGGAAATATACTAGTTACATTTTATTTATTTCATTTGTTATCCTTAAAAACTAGTATTATAAACAAATGAAATAAACAAAACCAAGATAATAAATGAAAAAAAAATTTGATTGGAGATTTACTATATATCAATCATCGTTGGTAGAAAAACTAGTATATTTTGTAAATACACGTCTCCATGTTTTATCAATACAATCGTTGATTGTTATGTAGTTAATTTACAGTCTTTTTTCATTTTTTTTTTGAAAAACTATATTTTTGTAAATGCAAATTGCTCAATATTATTTTCTAGCAATAAATGCAATAATACTTACCTTTTATCAATACAATGGATCAAAATTTAATTTACAAAATGGATTGATCCCGTGGCAACTTAACGTGTGACAGACAAGCAACTATTTATGTTTATAAACAAAGGGATTATGTTCCACATTAATTTAATAATTTCCAGCCACTCTAATTAACACATAAGACGCACTACGAATGTCTTCACCATATCCTCTATATATACCTTTCTAGCTCCGATTCAAATAAAGCAAAGTGTTTCACATATATTGAACCAAATCGATCTGTCATAGACCATGTCTGTTCAAGAAAAGGATGTTATCCGACCCATCGCTAATTTTCCTCCCAGCGTATGGGGAGATCAGTTTCTTGCGTACGAGCAGGTATGGAAACTATTGAAACCTATCATGAAAATAACAACTTAACTTCAATTCTGTGTGTGAGCCCGCATCTGAACATGAATGCATGTTAATTATCTAACTTTCAAGCACAAAATGCATCATCCCTATATATATATATATATATATATATATATATATATATATATATATATATATATATATATATATATATATATATATATATATATATATATATATATATATATATATATATATATATATATTCTCGAAGAAACCAATTTTTTTTTTCAAATTTAGAGCTTATTCTTTATCGGAAATAAAACTAAAAATATTTAAATTCATAACATAACATTGATAATATAACATTGTGAATGTTAAATATATTTTTCGGATTAACCGTGTGAATTTAGATTCACATTGTGAATTTTCAAAGATTCAGATTGTGAAATTGACAATTTTTTTTCCGAATTTGATATCATTGGAAAAAAGATAAAAAGTTATGAATTTCTGTATTTTTAGTTTTCTTTTTTCTGATAAAAATAAGTTATAAAAGTTGAAAAAAAGATTGGTTCCTTGGTTAATTATGGTTATCTATTGAACAGCACTATATATATATATATATATATATATATATATATATATATATATATATATATATATATATATATATATATATAGGGAAGGGTTATTTAGAAAAATAAAAAACTCTAAAAATCATAAAAATGCATAAAAAAAATACAAAGACATCACAAAACTTTTTTTTGAATTTTTTTATAAAAAAAATCGCAGCATTTTTAACAATTTCACTGAAAAAAAAATTCATTTTTTTTTGTAAATTTTTTTTTCAATTTTTCCCCAGCGATTTTAACCTAAAAGTTGCGATTTTTTGATAAAAAAATTCAAAAAAAAGTTTTGTGATCTCTAAGTATTTTTTAATGCATTTTAATGGTTTTTAAGGTTTTTTTAAGGATTTTTGTTTTCCATAGAACTTATATATATATATATATATATATATATATATATATATATATATATATATATATATATATATATATATATATAGAGAGAGAGAGAGAGAGAGAGAGAGAGGAGTAAATTACTGAAATCGTCCCTGTGGTTTGGTCAAAATTGCTCGTTTGGTCCCTAACTTTTTTTTACACTCGGATCGTCCCTGTGGTTTGATTTTGTTGCGTTTTTCATCCCCATAATTTGGTAAAAGTTGCATGTTTGGTCCCTAATTTTATATATGTAAGGGACGAAAAATGCAACAAAATCAAACCACAGGGACGAAAAACGCAACAAAATCAAACCATAGAGACAATCCGAGTGCAAAAAAAAGTTAGGGACCAAGCGTGCAATTTTAACCAAATCACAGGGACGATTTCAGTAATTTTCTCTATATATAAAAGATGTTGCCTTCCATATATATATATGGAACTTCAACAAATTTAATAGCTAGTAACACATTTGTAAATGAAGCAAGAAGATGAAGATGGGGTAGAAGAGGTGGTTAACGACCTGATAGAAGAAGTTAGGAAAGATATATTGGCAGGTTTGAATGATCTCAAGGAACATTTAAATTTGTTAAAACTGGTTGATGCAATCCAACGCCTTGGCATCGCATATTATTTTGAAGAAGAGATTAATGAAGCCTTGCAACACATCTACGATGCATATGGTGACAACTGGAATGGTGCAGGCTCTTCACTTTGGTTTCGACTCATGCGGCAACAAGGCTTCTTTGTGGCAAGTGGTAATTATTCTTGTTAATGAATCATAATGATGCAACTTGCAGGAGAAACTAACTTTTAATATGGATTCTTAATTATATGAAATGTGAAATAGATATTTTCAATATGTACAAAGACAAAGACGGAGCTTTTAATGAGTCACTAAAAAATGATGTTCAAGGTTTACTTGAGTTGTATGAAGCTACGTATTTGAGTATACCAGGTGAGGCTATTCTAGATGAGGCTCTTGATTTTACAAGAAATCGTCTTGATGACATGGCAAACGATCCTCTTTGGAGTCATGACTCTATTCTCTCCGGTGAAATAAAGGAAGCATTAAAGCAGCCTTTACGTAAAAGGTTGCCAAGACTTGAGGCATTGCGCTACATACCATTCTACCAACGACAAACTTCTCATAATAATTCGTTGCTAAAACTTGCCAAGTTAGGATTCAACATACTCCAATCGTTGCACAAGAAAGAGCTAAACCAAATATCAAAGTATGCACATCTATATAACCTTTCTATAATTTTTATTTCAAAAATTTTAAATTAACCATGGAATTAATTAGTACACATTTAACCTCGTTCCGAATTCACGACCCCTAGCGATGTATTGTTAAACGATATGAAATTTCTCTCAAAGACCTATACATGTTTATTGACATATTGTACGTAGGTGGTGGAAAGGCTATGATGTTCCAAAAAATATCCCTTATGCGAGAAATAGACTGGTTGAATGCTACTTTTGGTCTTTAGCAGTGTTCTTTGAGCCTCAATATTCTCAATCTAGAATGTTCTTTGCTAAAGTTTTTGCATCGGCAACACTTTTGGATGATACTTACGATGCTTACGGTACTTATGAAGAACTTCTTATCTTTACTGAGAAACTCCAAAGGTATATAAAAAAATATATGTGGTCGATTATATATATATATATATATATATATATATATATATATATATATATATATATATGTCATAATTTTTTTTATTTATAGGTGGTCAATTACATGTTTGGATGAGCTTCTAGAAAACATGAAACTTATATACCGAATGTTCTTGAATTTTTATGAAGATATGGAGAAAATCTTGGAAGATATGGGAAAAGCCCATCATATTAACTACATTGTAGGGGCGGTAAGTTCTCAATGACACAATCTAGTTTTAATCTTAATTTGGAGAAGAGTAAATTGATCGTGGTTTCTTCTCTTAAAGTCCCGGTGTTAAACTTATAAATTTTTATTATACTCTATTTATATGTTCTCTAATACTTCTGTACTTCTGTACTTAACGTCATAATCCTACAACAAACAAAATAAAATGGATCTGATTTGACTAATGGACTAATTATAAGATTGGTTTTAGAGTAAGATCATACCTAATATCGTAGTGTCTCGTAGGACTTTTCCATCGTATTCCGATCCGAGCTTCTCTTTGATTTTTGGTCTTTAGTGTCTTAAAAGCAGTGTTGTAAAACTCGTTGAGTTGACCGATTACTCCTCCGAGTACTCACTACTCGGCCCCTTACAGATGTGAGTTACAGAATCCCGAGTACTCCCTGATAGGCCCTTTACTGAACTAAGCAATGTTGTAAAACCCGTTAACTCGGTGATTAATATGTTTAATATATTTAATGATTTATTGTTTAAGACACACATGTGATTATTACTATATATATATATATATATATATATATATATATATATATATATATATATATATATATATATATATATCTTAAATTTTCAGTAATTACTCATAAAGTGAGACCATTATGTGCTTTTCAGTTTTTGTGTATTCGTATTTATCTAATTTTGTTATATATTTCAATCAACTAATGGTTTGAACTTATGATTTAAACATATATAATTGGATTTAAGTTATTTTTGGTCACTTAACCTTTGGTTTTGTGCTGATTTTGTCACTTAACTTTTTTTAAGTTTTTAAAGGTCATCAAACTTTTGGCTTTGTGCTCATTTAGTCACTTAACTTTTGGTTTGGTCACAGTTAGTCACCTAACTTTTAAAATTGTGCTCATTTAGTAACTAAACTTTTAATTTTTTTTAAAAGTTTAGTGACTAAATGAACATAATTTTAAATGTTAGGTGACTAAATTAGCACAAATCTAAAAGTTAAATGACTAAATGTGACCAAACCAAAAGTTAAGTGACTAAATGAACACAAAGTCAAAAGTTTGATGACTTTTTAAAACTTAAAAATAGATAAGTGACCAAATGAGCATAAAACCAAAAGTTAAGTGACCAAAAATGACATAAACCCTATATAATTCCCCAAAAAATATTTCAACATGAATTACCAAATCCGAGTACTCCCCGAGTACTCGCTACTAGGTAGTCGACCGAACAGGTACCGAAGCAAAACTCCAACGCCTTATATATATATATATATATATATATATATATATATATATATATATATATATATATATATATATATATATATATAGGGTTAGGTTTCACATGACACCATCATATTTTGTGAGACATGAAAACGCAATCATTAATTTTGGAGATAAAAAAACAAGATTTTAAAATGCAAAATAAATGAAAATTTTCAATTTTTTTTAAAAATATTATATTAGTCATTTATTTTATCCAAAAAATATGAAAATAAAAATAAAAAAATTATATTTTTTCTAAATATACGTGAAATATTTTAATAGAATATTATAATATAAATATTCAAATCAAAATTTTTTAATGTTAGAATATTCTACTAGAACATTAAACTATAAATATTCAAAAATATTTAATAAAATATTAGAATATTTTAAGAGATCCAACTATTCATGTAAAATATTAGAATTATTATATCTACCAATTTTAGTAGAATCTTAGAATATTATAACATGCTAAAAATTCGATTTTATTATTTACATTGTAACATTTTATTAGAATATTTCACTCATATTTCAAAAAAATGAGTGATTTTTTTATATATTTTTTATATTTTTGGATAAATTAAATAACGAAAATAATATTTTTAAATTCTTTTTTTTTTAGGTTTTTCCTTTTATTTTGCAATTTATAATTTCTATTTTTATTTTTTTAATATCCAAGATTAGTGGTTAAGATTGCGTCCCCATAATCATAAAATTAACATGGTCTCAAATGAATTTCTACCTAGGATTAGGTTCATGTTAGACCATCATATTTTGTGAGACATGGTTTTGTTTTGTTTGATAACTTGGCCACACAACTTCATATATTTAGTTTTTTAAAAGGTGATATATATATATATATATATATATATATATATATATATATATATATATATATATATATAATTTTGAAAATGGTTTTTAACATTATCACTATTTATATGGAATTTTATAAAATATTAATTCGCTTGCATGCAATTGAGTTTGTTCTTATTTCAGTTGAAAGAATACAGTAGAAGCTACATGAAAGAAGCAAAATGGACTCACGAAGGGTATATACCAACCGTCGAAGAACATATGGAACTTGCATATATTAGTACCGGATACAAATATACTCTAGTAGCAAGTTTTGCTGCCATGGGCGATGTAATAACAGACGAGACATTCAAATGGGCTTTCCCTAATCCTCCTCTTGTCAAAGCTTGTTGTGTACTTTGTAGGATCATGGATGATATTGTCACTCACAAGGTAAATCCAACTCTAAATTATGATATGCTACAAGGTGATTTATTAATTTGTAATCACAAATTAGCTGGATTAAAATCTCGATAACACTGTGAAAAAGCATGTTATATTCATTCTTGGATACTATGTTAAGTAACTAGTTTGTGTAAATTTTAATGATTTCAAACAATATTGCAGGAGGAGCAAGAGAGAAAGCATGTTGCATCTGGTATTGAATGTTACATGAACCAATTTGATGTCACTGAACAACATGTGTATAATTTGTTTAATGAAAGAGTTGAAGATGCCTGGAAAGAAATGAATAAAGAGTCTTTTATCTGTAAAGATGTTAAAATGCCCGTAATTATGCGGGTGATCAATCTAGCACGTGCAATGGATGTATTATATAAGAATAAGGACCATTACACACATGTTGGAGAAGAACTCATAAGTCATATCAACTCTCTTGTTGTTGATGCTATCATCACATGAGTTCGAATCAATGTTCCATATAATTGGAATTTCGCCCATCATCTTTAGGATGGTGGTTTATATGGAAACAACAATAAGACGACAAGTCCTTAATTTGGTGTCTGATGGTCTAAATGTTCACTTTCTACACCTTCATGTTGATGTTTAATACTATTATGTGTAACATTTTACTTTTAGTCTTTTGTTTGTATTTTCAATTTGAAGCAATAAGGTTTGACTTTTACTTTAAATTATTGTTTTACTCTTAGTTGCATCTCAACCTGTAATACTTGTTTTTGTAAGATGGGATTTGATTTATGATTGTGATTTCAGTATGTGTAAATTGTGCTATAAGTTATCCTAATCTAGTTTATGTCTTTATGATGAGTTTTGAACACAAATCTAGAAACCCTAGGAGGCATGTACAATTTTTGAAATTAACATAAAACTAGGGTATAGAGACATACCTTTATTGTTATGTAGTAATAACAATAATTCCTTTGAATATCTTGACTTTGAGAACAAGTGCCACAAATGTGACACCTCTTATGGCTCACAAACACACCAAGGCAAGAAGATGATTGAGAGAGAGGAGAGATGAGGGAGTTGCTCAAAATTTCAACTCTTCTAGGGTTTCTTAGGATAGCCAAAATCTAAAGGGTTGATGCTCCTTTTATGGTCAAGGTTGCTTAGTCCCAAAGCTAGGGTTTTAAGGTGGAAACCCTAATTTATAGCGTAGGGCCTAAGCAACCCATGGATTTCCCTCCTTAGGGCCATTGACGAAAATCCTTAGGGCCTCCCAAAAATTTTCGGCCAACCCCTCTTAGGGTGATCCAAGAGCCCAAACCACAACTATTAAATAATTGCAAAACAGCCCTTGAACTTTTAATTCATTCATTTAATCCCAAAATTAATTCCAAATTAATTTCTGATTAAATATTAATTAAACAACCTAATTTATAATTAATATATTGTTTTCATAACATATTAATAAATCATTTTATATACTAATTTGTTATTCCAAATGAGAAATTCAACGTCTTCCTCGATTAATCGTCATGTCTAGTTGCTAGTGTTAAGGCAACCCAAAATGAGTGTGCTACCATCAATTCATGTACATACCAATAATAGTTATGGGTTTAGACACTTAATCCAACAGTTTCCCATTTGGATAAGTCTAATAACTATAGTTTCAAGTATGACTTCAAAATTGACTAGCAAATTGTAGCTCTCAAAGCCGCTGTCGAACTCTGACTTAGTTAGTAATATGTCCTAAGATAACTGATCATATAATCCTCCGTTCTGCAAGATATCATGTGGACAGTTGATATGGAATATAATCATTCTCATTGTCCAACAGTTTGTTTCCCGATTTCTGATTTGTAATGACAAAGAACTAAATTGAACACATCAATTCAGTACTGACCGGGTCTGACACATAAGTCAACACCAAATCATCGAGAGGCCCAAGATATCAATTTTCCCGTTTGGGGAAAAAGGAACAGGTAAACTTCGACTTATATGCTTGCACTATTTACTTATCAAATCATGCACAACAATACATTTTATAACACCAAGTTACTGATGCATTTACGTATTATCAATGCACAACCAACTCGTAAAAAACAACTCATATATCTTCATTTAAAGATTATATGATATTATTGTCCTAGAATTACTCAAGATAAATTCCATGAAGTAATTCACTGTAACGCCCGTGTTTCAGGGCTAAGCATTTTTGTCAATGTAATAGTCTAGGTCAACTCTTGTAACTCTTTTTTGAAGTAATAAAGATGAAATAGTTGAGTATTATGTGATTTATGTGTGATTATGTGTTTATTATTTAAGTATAAATGTATAATTAATAAAGAATAAAAATGAGCATCAAAATTAAAGTGTGATAGAATCCCGATATCTCTACATAAAGTTGTAGAATATGTCTCAAGGTTTCCGTGCATATAAGGAACGCCGAAATCCGAGTTATAACGAAGAAGTTATGACCCGTCGAAGTTTTACGGCAAAACCAGCACGGCACCGGGAGACGTAAATAGTGAATTTACGATAAAAGACTTTTTATCCTTAGCAATCTAAACAAAAGTCGTATAATATGTTAAACTAAGAGCGTCGATAAAAAGAACGCCCAAATCTGACTTCGTATGAGGAAGTTATGATTTTTCTAAGATTCGACTTAGTAGTGCACGACCCGAAACTCGAATTTTAGTTCGAGCGGTTTTTAGCTTACGCGAACTAAATGAGAGTTGAAGATCTCATTAATAGGAACTCAACGGTAAAAAGACAGACGAAAACGGAGTCCGTATGAAGGAGTTATAAATTCTTCGCGGTCATTTAACAGTCTAAACGCCTCCTACTGTTAAATTTGATATCGGTTGAGAATTAGCCGATGGAGTCTAAACAAAAGTTGTAGATCTTGATTTTACCTACGCGTGGATATAAAGAACGTCGAAAACAGAGCTCGTATGCGAAAGTTATGATTTTTCTAAGTTTGAAGGCTGATACGCGATAGGGGGTGACGTGGCACCACCAGTGAAACGACCCAAAAATACGACCCAAAAATTTTTGTTTTTAATATAATCGAAACTGTCATCAGAGTATCATATAATAAAACCATGCATGATGTATTCCAAAACATGATAAAATACTGTGCGGAAAGCTGTATCATACTACATCAAATCAAACAACTAAATCAATCCCAGGCTAAAGCTGAGGCGGTAGTGTGTGCGATGCCGTTATCCCGAGCTCTTCCCTTTGCTTGCGGAAGTACCTGAAACCAAAACTGAAACTGTAAGCACGAAGCTTAGTGAGCTCCCCCAAACTACCACATACCATACAATAACATATAAACACATATTGGGCCTTGCCCACTGCATCGGGCCGAAGCCCGGAAACTGCATCGGACCGAAGTCCGGAACTGACTGGGACCTTGTCCCCTGCATCGGACCGAAGTCCGGAACTGACTGCATCGGACCGAAGTCCGAAACTGACTGCATCGGACCGAAGTCCGGAACTACTGGGACCTTGTCCCCTGCATCGGACCGAAGTCCGGAACTAACTGCATCGGACCGAAGTCCGGAACTGTCTGACTGAACATGGCATGGCATAACACATCAACTAGCATAACACATATACGACATGCTACATCGGGCCGTAGCCCGGAACACATAATACTTAACACATAAAACATAGCACACAATCCTGTTCGAACCACGAAGGCATCGAACATACTAACTGCTGCATCGGACCTAAATCCGGAAACTACTGCTAACTGAACGGGCCGGCATTGTGGCCTTAGACCCGTTCCTACTGGAAGGAAACTCACCTCGTAAGCTGGCTGCTGAGTGTGTGGCTCGGAAAGCTAACGGCGGCTGCTCCTGAATCTCCTCGGCTACAAGTCCATAAACACACTCAATCAAATACTAAACACTGCGCTTGGGGTAAAATGACTCTTTTACCCTTGGTCAAAGTCAACTCTCTTTTGGGCTGACTCGCCGAGTTGGCCACCCAACTCGTCGAGTCCTACTCTCACTTTTCACTTCTGCTCACTGCTACTCGTCGAGTCTGGCATCGACTCGACGAGTACCCACTTGATCCAAGAACTCAGACAATCTTCATCTGACTCGCCGAGTCGTATGAACAGACTCGACGAGTTGTTCTTGATCCCCAAGAAGATTGCCTTGGACTCGCCGAGTTGATGAACAAACTCGTCGAGTCCCTCCATCACTGAGTCCACTCTCAACTCGCTGAGTCCACTCTCTAACTCACCTCGTACACTCGACACTGATAAAAAACTGAAGGACTCGTGACTCGCGACCCGACTCGTCGAGTCGTTCTTCCGACTCGCCGAGTCGCCGCCATGCAACTGATTTCTACTTGGGTTTTGTTTGAATCCAATGCATACAATCGATAGATCTGAGTCCAATAAGCTGTTTTACCACGTAAAGTTTCCAACTTTACGTGCACAACCTCATGAATAAGGGAAACAAGGCTAAAAGATGCATAAAATGAGTAGATCCATGGCTAATATGCAATGTAACTCCAAAAAGACAGTAATCTGGGCTCTACAACACCCCAACATTCAGATCCAAAGGTATTTCGACTTATTAAGACATTCATGCAAACATAAGGCTTGGGACAAACATCACATAGCTCTTAGAAGAGCTCTAATGGAAGTTTAAAGCATATAACAAGAAGGGGACTCCGAAAATACCTCAATAAACTCAGATTTTCCCTTGGATCTTTGCACTACAACTCGTTTCCTTGCTTCTTTCTTCTTCTCCTTCTTCACACCTTCACAAAATGGCACCAAATCACTTATAAGCTCTCAAGGAAGGATTAGGGTTCTCTCACTGTGTTCTCTGGGTGAAAGTGGCGAGAATGAGGCTATAATGTGGTTTAAATAGTGGGCAAACCCGGGGATTTAGGGTTTCACCCAGACGGACGGACTCGCCGAGTCCGGGATATGGACTCGCCGAGTCCCCGGCTCCCGCGTCCCTCTTGAAAACTTAGATAATTAACAATTAATTAACATACCGGGAACGGGTCGTTACAAATCTCCCCCACTTGTCTCAGACTTCGTCCTCGAAGTCTGCTACGGCTGGATCTGCGAATAACTCCGGGTAGTGCGCTCTCATCTCCTCCTCAGCCTCCCACGTCCATTCAGATCCCTTCCGGTGCTGCCACTGCACCTTCACTAGCTGTATGACCTTGTTCCTCAAGGTCTTGATCTTCCGATCCAGAATCGCGACCGGTCTCTCAATATAATTCAGGCTGCTATCAACCTGAATATCCTCTAGGGAAACGACTGCTGACTCATCCACCAAACACTTTCTCAACTGCGACACGTGGAAGGTGTTGTGTATCTGACTAAGCTCCTCAGGGAGATCTAACCGATAAGCAACCCGACCCACCCGACCCACCCGGGCCAAAACCCTGAAGGGACCAATAAATCTGGGGCCCAATTTGCCCCTCTTCCGGAACCTGATGACACCTTTCCAAGGTGAGACCTTCAGAAGAACCATATCTCCCACCTGGAACTCCAAGTCTGAACGCCTCCTGTCGGCGTAGCTCTTCTGTCGACTCTGCGCAGTCTGCAGCCTACTACGGACCTGCTGGATCAACTCCGTCGTCTTGAGCACCACTTCGGTGCTCCCTATGACTCGCTGACCGACCTCACCCCAACAAATCGGGGTCCTGCACTTCCTGCCATATAACATCTCAAAAGGAGGTCGATCAATGCTCGCATGATAACTGTTGTTATACGAGAATTCCGCTAACGGAAGATACGTATCCCAACTGCCCCCAAAGTCTA